GCGGCGGCGTCCACTAGCCTGACGTGCGCCGACAAACACTCCGCCACACGCACGCACACACTCACACCGCCGGGAGGAGGACCGCCCTCACACATAAACGTTACACGTAAACATCATTTTTTTAAGGTCTCATCTTACAGTTTAATTACTTTTATATCACATTCGATCACATGCACAAACGCCCATTAAATTTTAACTACGACATAATCAGTAATGAATGTACTAAATTAAAAAATATATATTGATAATTTATCAGTTGCACAAATCCCATTAAAATTGTCATTAGTTCAAAGCGACATTACCAATATAAATTTTCAATTTTAGAACTTTCATTTGAGCTTAAAGTCGTCATTTAACCATAATTAACGTTTTGTTCAACTAGATGAACGGTGCTTTAGAATTAAACTTATTACAATTTTAATGGACGTTTGTGCAACTGAGAGATTGTGTAGTAAGTTGACAATATTTAACATTAAAAAATCAGTCATGAATCGCGTTCTTTCAAATACAATAGGTTATTCTACTCTGTTTAAAATAATACTTGTAACTGTTAATTTTAATTTAAAAAAGGCATAAAACAAATATTTAAAATTGAATCAAAATTTTAACTTTTTTATAACCGCGTAAACGTTGTCCGACATATTCATAAAGTCTTTGTGCTATGTACACAAAACCTCAACTCTATGCTCAAAACAGATGCATAGAGTATTTAGAAGGTTAAAAACTGACAATAAAATAAGAACAACGCCACCTGACAATAGATTACGAAATAAAAAGGTGTAAATAAGCTAAGAACAGCGCCATCTAGGAATTTGGTTAATAAATAATAGGTAGACATTTACGACTAATCTGTCAACTGTCGCCACAGTGACGTCACCCAATGACGGAACGTGTTTTCAAGTCTCATGAAACACGAGATGAAAAAAACCGAGTTTTAATTTTAAGATAATAAGATAAGCGTGCTATTTTAAGACTCAAAATCAGAATGTCTATCGGTCAATTGCACAAACGTCCCTTAGAGGTTTGACGCCTTGAACCTCTAATGAATGTCAAATTTATATGGGTAATATCACTTTAAACTAATGAAAATTTTAATGGATGTGTGTAAATGCCTGTAAGTTTATTACGATGTAAATATTAGTTTTTGTGCAATTTTCTTATAAAAACTACCCGAAACTACCCTATTAAAAGTAATATTGTCCTCCACTACTTACTTGATCAATGATGCTCTTCATCATTAGAGTGAAGTTTTTATTGTTACACGGATCTACGTCATTTGTCAGTACGACACCGCCCAGCATGTTGTATCTAAAAATATATTTCGTAACCTATAGTTAACATAAAAAACTTAAATCAAATCAGATGCCAGAGAATCGTAAAATCATTCATAAGTTGTTCACAAGAGCACGTCAAGTCAATATAAAATTTCTGTTATTGATTTTGATTTTCAGTGTCGATTTAGAGAAATTATAAACTGAATAATATAATCAACACACATATATAAATACAGATAAATATTTTATTTTTACAACAAGTGTTGCCAATTTAATTAAGTGTTAGTGATAGAAAACATCGCTTGTCAAGAAAAATATAAATCAATGGAATCAAATGACCACTTACATAATAGCCATACACATATGATGTCCAGGGGGCGTACATATTTTATAATAACGATCTAAATTATAATTCTTCATCAGATACAAACAACTGGTAACATCCCACATGTAACTGTTCAACACATCGCCCTCCCGCCAAGCGTGGTGTTGCCAGCCGAAATTATACGTATAATTTCTCAACTGGCAACTATAATAAGGCATTATTAGCAACTGACATCTGTAATTTAGCCTATCTCTGTATTCAGCCGTTAACTTTAATAGCTTTGCGAACAATTTTATTTCTTTTGATACGTCAGATTGGAATGTATTCTCGTAGCCTTCTCTACAGGGCCACAATAGGAAACATTCGGCGTTTAACCGTTGGGAGATTTCGAGGCATTTTTTAATTTGAGCTGCGGCTTGAGCGAAGATTGGCGCTTCGTTACTTGTGAAGGCACCGTGTGTATACCTGGAAATGAAATCAGCCATTGAAATCGAAAGCTAAGGTCAAAGCTATACTTGTCTAAAAATTTATTAGTACTGATAATAATTCCAAAATAAAAAGACGTGGATTTCAATATTTTTTCTATATAATGTTGTGTAGTTGTGGATGTAACCTTAAATATATATAAAATAATTTATATAAGAAAAATAAATATATATAATTATTTGAAATATTTACCGTGAATGAGAATGCAAATCGGGCGCTAACCACATTAGTCTCATATGATATCTCTGGTTAAGCTCTTGTATGTAGTCGACCATGTCGTCCCAGTGTTTGGAGTCCTCCCACCACTCGTAATGAAGGAGGTCCGAGTCAAAAGCCGTCCAGTACTTCAAGCCGAGCTTGTGACATAAGTCGAAGAGAGCTTTGATGCAACGCTTGTGGTTCTCTATGTTAGCAGAACCATCGTCCCAAGACCTAGGGTGGGAGGGTGGTCTGCGGTTGTCCGATCCTTTAAAAAAATAGATTCATTCAATGTAGACTCTATTACTTGAATTAACCATTTGTAATACTCGTTAACTAAAAACTATTTTAAACATTGTCTATTGTAGCTTTTTTTTACTTATTTCATATCTGGAAATTAAATCTTAAAATAAAGTCTGAATAAAAATGTAATTGTTCTTTTAATAAAGATATTAATTTAGGTTAGTTCCTCAACGGGGGTAATAATCCTTTTCTGATAACGCAGTCCCCTTAAGCGAAGCCGGTCTACCTGGCAAAACCATATGTAACTAAATTTCTAGGATTACGATTAAGTGATCTATCCGATCATGAAAGTAATTAAACTAACCGTTATTCCTGAATTCAGTGAGTGAGACGCTAAACTTCAACCAGTCTTCCATAGTCCGGGAGTGTATTCTTTCTGTGCTGTTATAGTAGCGGTATGTGGATACTTCGCTTGGTGAACTCATGTTGTTGTATTCTACCTTGTCTATGCCTATAAATATATATTTATTAACAACTTACATATTATAATAAAATCTATATATCCACATATACTATAAAGAGGTGACATCTTGTTAAGTAATATTGTACTTTCTTTGAGGGAACATTTATATCTAGATTATTATTATTATAATATTTTATCTTATCAGTGCGGCTTTCAAAATAAATATTGATACTGACCACGATCCTCAGTAATGAGGGAGCGACTAAGAGAGAGGTATCTACGTAATATTATACTTTAAAGAGCCTCTACATTTGGATGTCATTTTCCAGGTTCTAGATTTCTTTTTTTTTTCCTTTTTTTATTGCTCCGTATTTTTTAACAAATTATACTTATAGAAAAAAGATAAGAGTAAAATAAATATTAAAATAATCAGCCCCTACGCCAGTTAGAAGGCGTCGCATTCTGTCGAGGATTCAGATTCGATGCCCGGTAAAATCAATGTAGAAAATAAGCTTTCTATATTGTCTCGGATCTGAGTGTTGTGTTAACTTCGTTGTTCCAGATAACAACGCTAAAACAGTTAAACAACGCGAAATTGGAAGGATGTAGAAGCAAATACAGTTAAAAAAAACTTACCTTGAAAATAATCAACATTATCCCCCGGCCTCGCTTCCCTAAGTTTCTGCCTTTTAGCCCCCGGCTGGTTGTACCCCGACATGTTGGAGCAACGATCGGAGAACCACAGACAGCCAGACGTGCGTGCGGCGACGATATATAACATGCACTATGAAAGGGCTCGTCCGAGCGTGCCGCTATATTGTTTCAAACTAGATCCTATTATAAAATGAGGTCTATTTGTGTAGCTCTTGTATTATTTTACGTATAAATTAAAAACGTGTTTGATAGTTTTAAATAGGGCTCTTTACACTTTGTCAAAACGACCTTATATAATTCTGGACAATCGAGTGTCTTTTGCAAGTTTTTAATGAGATACTTGGATCGTTTTCAAGTTAGGTCAAAGCACTTACAATAAAAAAAAAATTGTATAAAAAATACACACGCATAACGCTTTTTTTATTTATACATAATATGTAGTATAGGGTTGTTTCTTACACTAATACTTTTATGATAAACTTGGTCATAATGTATGACTTATCCCAAAGCCTTTAGGTTATTTTATTTCAGAAAGATTACTTAATTTGAATAGTGATCACTAATTATCAGAGGTCGGAATTAGGTAGAGTTATTTATGTACTTGCATCGAAATGTAGACCTTCCCGGGATTTCTAATGGACAATCCCGTGTGGCCAACAATCTTACAACTAAATAATAATAACAACGTCAGAGACAGACAAATAAAACAAAGATAATTAACATAAAATTTTTATTAGTTTAAATTAATTTACAATACAAATTTTGCAACTGTGGACATCCGATGTCATTGATGTAAGTTTGGCAACGTCGTGCGTGCAGTAGTTTAAATTGTGTAAAAGTAAATAACTTTTTATTAAAAAAATCACGGGATTTTTTCTGCTCTTTAATATTAATCTCGGGATTTGAGGCATATCCACTTTATTCTTTCGCTGTATGAAATCAGTATAAGTACATGAATAACTCTACCTAATTCCGACCACTGCTAATTATTTAAATTTTTATTAACTTTAATCACAAAGATTACTTTATTTGGATGATAACTCAAAATAATAAATCAGTTATCGTAAAATAAAACGCTGAATATGCCAGTTTTCGTTGTCATCGTTGTCTATATATTGTGAACATGAATAATAATAATAATTATAGTAGGTATTATTGATGAATCAAGAGTTTTTTATATTTTTTCATACAGAATTTGCTGTGAAAACCTGTATTACTAACTTAAAACATGCTATTAAAATTGATGGAGTGCATTATTTTTCTAGTGGCGTTTACTGTGTTTTATTAAGAGACAGCTAAAATTAAGATCTTTACTTTTAAATTTCTCAATTAACTAAATTTTCTTTCCTATTCTTTTGCTGTAATATTTGTTTAAAACATGATACTTATAAAAAAAACGTCAATTTTGCCTTATAAACGATATATTTACATTGAAACTATAAAAACAGCCATATTATTCGAAATAATAAAGCGAGCGCCGCCACCAAAAGTGGAATTGGAATCGGGACTTTATTCACAATTTTCCGACTATAGACACCGGAAATTTCACCCTTCTTCAATGGCGCGATCAAGCCCGGCATCTTAGGTTGGTCTATGGGCTCTCCCATCATAGAGAATTTACTCGCACTAGTGATTTTGACTGTGAGCATTTTTCCCATATATTTATCATCTTTGGGCACTAGTACTTGTTCATAATATTCGTTGTGGGCCACGAAATAGTTTTTGTCGTGTGACACGTCTGTTACTAAGACTTCTTGAATCTCGCCAACTTTGTGGCCGTACGGCTCATACGATCTGAACAGTTCTGATAACATTTTCGTTCGTTTCTTTACCTCTTGCCCGGGTACCTGTTGAATAAAACGCTTGTTTAAAGCAGAGGTTCCCAAACTTTTTATCGTGAACCACATTAAAATTTTACTTATTTCTGTGAACTGCTACTAAATTTATACCATACTTCCAAAACGATTAAATCGAGATATGACCACTATTCACCTGTGGATATCTGGCGCTCATGTGGACCACAGTAGCAGTAAAAAAGTAACAATATCGTCCTATAGTATAACTGAAGTATTTGGTAGCAAGTCTTTTTTAATTCATCGCCATACAACTAAATGTGCAGAAAAAATTTCTACAACTTTTTTCGCGGGGATTACCTTCATGGCGGGCACTACACTTACTTTTTGCATGTTGGCGGCTGGAGTGCCTGGTCTGGGGAAGAATTGGTTAATGAAGAGTGACGGGAACCGATACTTGTCGCACAAGGACATGGTCTCCTGGAAGTCTTGCTCCGTCTCCGTCGGGAAACCACAGATTATGTCCGTCGCTATCGTCATACCAGGGACCCTAAGTGGAACGATGCATATTATATTAGATAACTTGATAATTAGATTCAATGTCACTTAAATATATTTGTAAAATTGGTAACGATCGTTAAATAAACATCGCAAAGCTTACTAAGTAGCACTAACACTAAATAAGGAAAAGAAACTAACGAATATCAATAACTTGATAGTTGAATTGTATACTCGCAAGTCCCCAGGGGTCAGCCAACCACAGGTAGAGTAACACTGCCTTTCTTTACTGCGGTTCAAGTCTGCTAAGCTCGTGCAATTACTTAGTAGTGATCGCTATCACAACTAAATATTTGTAGATTTGTATTCGATTCCGTGTCAGGTCAATGTAGAAAATCAAAATTTTTATATTGTCTCCGGTCTGAGTGTTGAAGTACCTTCGTTGTTTCAGATACTTTATAACACGGACTTTTAGCTTCTCATCTTAGAATCAGAGCAATTTTTGATGTCTAACATTTATTATGTACATATTTTTTATTCATAATTACTTCTCTCTGAGGAAGTCGACGACGTGCTCGAATTCCTTGCGGGAATATTCTCGCTTCATGTCCGCCAGTACTTGGTCGCTGCCAGATTGTACGGGCACGTGTAGGAACCTACCAAATAACACATAATTATTGTCGAAACGAAGCGGTAGAATGTAAAAGTTCAACATACCTAAGTAAAAACTTTAACAAAATAACAGATAATTACTGATCATTCAAGCAGTAGACTGTCAAAGGCATCATAACTAAATTTTTTAAAACATAATATTTCCAATTAACGATAAGAAAACAAAAAAGGGTAAATAGTCGCTACTTTGAATAATACTTAAAAAAATACTGCAGCAATCTGCTGAAAGATTTGAATCTGCGCTCTTAAAATCACAGAACGTGAAATTTCCGTTTCATTTCGATTCCGATATGGTATTTAAGAAGCTGTGCATACATCAATCATCATCATCATCATCATCATCATCATCATCATCATCAATAACATTTGCTTTGCAATCTATGATTTTGATTATCAAATGTGAATCAAATTTGTATAGATGACGAATGTAAAATTTTTATATTGGAAATCATTTTTTCATTACAGTGGTGGCGTTGTGCAAATATTAATAGAAAAAAAATACATTTGATTCGATGATTTTTCGTACAAAATATACAGATAATAGCATCAAATTTTATTCAGACATCTAGATGAAAAAAATATTTATTTTACAAAAAAAAAAATACTAAAAACTTCAACCATTTCATTAGATAAAAAATTCTTAGCTACAAAATGTGTAAAACTAACAAAAATTATTAAAAATGTATCCTCACTTGTATACTCGCGGATGTTTCATGATTTGTGCCACATCAGGTAAATGTTCCAGTATATAGGGCGGATTAGTCATACCGAGTCTCAGTCTACAACCTGCAGGGATCACTTGTACGAGGGCGCGCAGTAACTCTGGCAAGGATGTACCGATATCACGACCATACGTTCCTACACCAAACAACAGATTTCTAAATAACTACATATGAAATATGTCGGAAATGTTAACTTATATATTAAACTAACTGTTTTCTCGTGACTTCGCCTGTGCAAATTATAGCCTATGTCAACTCCGTATGATGTAGTTACCTATAGGTGAAAGAATTTTTCAATTCGATTCAGTAGTTTCGGAGCCAATTCAATGGAAACCAACAATTAAATATATAAAAGACAATAACTATGTAGTATTTCTTGTTTTAAAATAGTTAAGTAGGTAGTAAGGTATATATTATATTTAATAAAAAACGCTTAAAAATTCCACTAGCCACAAGTACTCTGAGATAGGACTCGAACCTTTCGCAAGCCGGAGGACTGAATTACGAAAGGTCGTGGGTTCGAGTCCCATTGGAGTACTCGGGGCTGAGATTTTTTTTAGCATTTGTAATTAAAAATATTTCCAGTACCAGTATAGCAATGCAAAATTGATCAAATATAGTAATTACTTATATTTTATTTGTAGAAAACTAACTTGCTATTTATAATCTGAGAATTACAAGAACCGAAACGAGCGGCCATGATAGAGCATCTTGCGAATCACTTTTCAACAAACTAAACGTGTTTGATACGCATGTAGCACTCATGTCTATTGAAATGTGACGACACAGCTCAAAATGTCACGTGACCGGTTTTTTTCTTGTGCGCTATCTTTTGGAGTGAGAATACTGATTGAATCAGAACATGTAATTATTGAATATTAGCTTTCACCAGCGGCTTTGCTCGAGTAGTCCCTAGGGAACTGTTTAGTGAGATAAATGGTTGCCTATATGTAAATCCATGCCCAGAAGTATCCGTATATTATATTTTCGTAAAATGGTAACAAACATACATACATGTATCCATACATACATTCGTATTGCATTTATAATATTAGTAGGATTCGTTATTTTTTAAAATTCACTGTTCATGTTGACAACTTTACTTATAATAACTATATTTTCAACTACATTTATTTCTAATGTATTAAATAAAAAGTATCTACCTGTATCCTCACTAGTAAGCCATATTTCCACAACTCCCTCCTCGAACGACTGCCTCGCCCTCTCTATTATTTCTTCAGGTGGGTAGCTACCAAGTTCACCTCTGGCATGTTTAGTTTTACAATATGTGCATTGGTTTAAGCAACCAGTGTTGATTGGTATAATCTCTATTAGGGGGTTTTTGCGTACTTTCGGCAGGAGGAGCGATGCACCACCAGCTTTTCGTCCTTCATCAGTTTTTCTTTGCCCAAATAAACGAACTGTGTGACCTAAAAAGAATTAATGCACTTCAGATACACAACATAAAACAAGAACTTATTATTAAGATAGTGAAAATAACGGAGGAATTATTAATGTGGCTGTATGTAATCTCATCTTGTCTTAATAAATTCATAACTGGGAAGTCATGTGATAGATCTATGATTTCAGTTTAGTATCAAATAATCAATTAAGAATAAAATATGTCTAACCTTTCAGTGTTTCCTCAACAACCTCCACTATCCTGTCTATCTGTTGCACTCCGACGACACTGAGACCGCGCAAGTACCCAGCGCGGGGCGCGCCCTGCGGCACACATCCCGCCACCACCACGTGGATGCCACGACTCTGTCCCAGCTCTATTTCATTCCTGTATTTCATACACACTTACTCATCTAATCACAAACTAAATAACAAAACAATTATTTAAAAATATGACTTATAAAAATCTGCTTATTTCACTTCTTTCTATGGGCATCTTTGTAACACAACAGCAATGTGACTGTTTTTCATGTTGACGGTGTGTAGCAGGATGGTAATTAATTATTTTTATGACTAATTAATTTGATTATATAAAATAACATTCATACTTGAAGTGGTCTTCTGCTGGGCTTTTTACAGTGCAAGAATTGAGTAACCACAGCTGCGCTTGAAATTTGTCTTCTGTAAGTCTGTATCCATTAGCTGCTAACAATCCTGCCATGTACTCTGAGTCAGAGTTATTGTGTGCACAACCCCACGTCTTCACATAAATTGTTTGGGTACCTTAAAGATTTAAAAAGCAACTTATATGTATCAGTTTACAATATAAACTTTATTTAGAACAATTTCAATGATATTAATAAAATTAAAAATTGAGATTAAATTACCATTCAATCTCAATATTTTACCTATAGATTCTACAAAAAGAATATAATAAATAGTAGAAGCTCGGTTCTCTATTTATTTGCATAAAATTTTATGTCATAATTTACCATGGCATACCTTTGTTTAACCGAATAATTGTAACGCATAATATTATTTGGCATAAGTTTTTAGGCATATTTTTTTAAGCATACCTTCTATTAGCATAATAAATCTTAACCATAATATTCTTACGCATAATAATTCTTAATCATAATGTTCTTACGCATAAATATGCTTAAGCATATTATTACTAAAGCTTAAGTTTAAAACTACTTTTTTCTACATAAAATAAACATGTTGGCGGCTATAGCGACTCGCCGCAACCTAACCTACTGTTACACGAAGGTGTCCTAATAACTATTAGGCAAATAAACGATATGCCTAATAACTTTATGCAAATAAAAGTTAGGGCAAAAAACATTTGTCAAAACTATATTTATGCCTATTGAAATAGTATGCCAAAACCCAATTATGCCAAAAAACTATTATGACAAAAAATAGTATGCGTAACTCGTTATGACAAACTCAAATAGAACAAAAAAAAATAGTCTAATGAAAGGGATCCCTAGTAGCTCTTATAACTACATGTCATATTATAAAAAATTAATTGATCTCAATTTTTTTTAATTCACATGCTATAAAAATAGAATAAAAATTGCTTTAATTGATCTTCCATTTTATTTTCTTGCTGTAAAGATAAGTTTAGAGTAGCACTATCACCATCTCTGAAGTCCCAAGTTTGATTCCTGGTCAGGAGAATGATGTGGAAAATTTGCTTTTTTTTTAATTGCATCAGGTTTGGCAGTTGTGGCAACTTTCTTGTTTCAAATACTCAATCATACTAGTACTACTTGTTTGAGGTAACACATGACAAGAAGTTTCTGCAAAGTACTGCATGCAAAAAAGTTGCAGGAGATAGCATGCTTATGCCATGATTGCGCAGTAAGCACATCTGCTTATTAATATAAATAGTGAATTAAGGCAATAAATATTTGGAAAATAATTTAATAGAGCTATTTAAACAATTTCGACTTTCAATGGAAAGAAGGCAAACATAAATAATTATGAGTTAATTTTTACACTCAATCATTTCTATAATTTTTCTTCTATTTCAGACATCACTTTCATTCTCATCTTTACCAAACAAAAATTCAATAATGCAAAAAAGCCTCTAGAGAATTTTCATTAATTAATAATAACAAGACGCTAATCCCGGTTTTCACTAACCAAGGCATAGCTTAACTAGAATATGCCTAATCTTATGAAACACCTAAACAAATGAGTTTAATTCCAAATAAACATTTTTCTCTTTTATCCCTTGATACATTTGTGATTTGTCATATTACAGAAATGCCTACCGCAAGGCACTGCATTATGCATATCATGACTTAGACATTGCATACATGCCGTTAGAAGGTCATATTCAAATCAGTCTAATCATTGGTGAAATGCATTTTCATCTTAGGCGATTTCTAAATATTTAGGCAACAGATTGAAGCGAATCCTAAGTTTAGTGAAAACGGGTATAACTGTTATACTGTCGCTACTGAAAGGCGACGTCTAGATTTCGCGTGGAGGGGGATCAAATTCCGAGCCAGGTGTCAAGTTAACTCGTACGAGTAGTAGAATCTGAGCAATATATGTGATGTTGTATATTATCATTATTTATAATAGTTATTACCAATAAAAACAAACTACACTTTGTGGCATTAAAAATATATCAATATAATTGTGTTAGGTAATCTGGTCAATATTCTTGTAATTAAAAATCTATATTTTTCTAGTTTTCCTAAGTTATTTTACCTGGTACAACACTCTCCAATATAACCTTTTCCACGGTCTCAACTTCATTTTTCGTGTCACGTCTACGAGATCTTACACTCACAGTTTTTCTACTAGCGTATCTTTCTTTAGGTGTTATGTCTTGAGATGATATTAAATCCTCAATATCATCAATGTTTTCTAAAAAAGCACCTGGCATCTTTAAAAACTCAGGTTATTTTCATACGTCACGTCAACGTCAAAAAGAAGACACATGACATTAGATGCAGGGTGACCGCTCAAAAAATTTTAAATATGCCCGACGCTACCTATAATCTGTTAAATCCGTTTAAATAAAGTGCCAAAATTATGCCGTCATATTTTCACTTACTGAAAGTAAGTACAGTGCGTGCGACAGAAAAAGAAGAAAATAAACGAAGGCGCCCCTGTCGTTTAACAGGGCAACAATTTTCATTGAAATCCATTCAATGACATGTTGACAGTGACGCAGTTGTATTGAGTCGCCGGTGTTAGTAGTACAATAATAATAATTTTAGTTCCAATTTATTCCGTTTTCTACTCTTATATATCAAACTGTATAGACACAAATAAATAAAATATTACTTAATTAATAACAATTATTCAATTTATGTATCAATATTTGCTTCATACTTTTCATTTTGTTTATTGATTTTAGGGATATTAAATCATTTCTTGGGTTGGTTTTAAAAAGACACAGTTTCCGTGTTTCTTAATGCTTTTTCTTGTTAAAACTAATGAGGATATATTTTTGTCCCCATTTTTTGTTTTAAGTTCATCATCATCAGCCCAGATACGTCCCCACTAGAGGGGCTCAGACCTTCCTTAAGGATCAGTAAAGATGATGGTTTATTGAACCCATCCTGGTCTAATGCGAATTGGAGAGTATTAATGACTAAAATGCGGCTGGGACCAACGGTTAAATGTGCCGTTCGAAACACGGTGTAGCTCGAGATAAAATTTTTTTGGTTACCCATCACTTAAACGGACCTTGCGAAAGTTGTGGTGTAACGCACGCGGAGAGAATATTCTCTCGCGTGAGGTATTGGACATTGGTAAACATAATAGAGATTTTGCAAAGTTTGCAATACAGAGATATTGTGGACCTCCATGGAATGAATGAAAGGTTGACTGAACTTGAGAACTTGATTTTATTATACGGTAATAAAGAAAAGAGTAAAGAAAAACTGTAACAAACAAAAAATGTATATAAAAACAGTTCATGATTACCTAAATATATAATTACAGTTATTAAATAGAACAAATACATACCCCGTTTCTGGGTTTTCTGTAATATATAAACTTAGAAGATATTTCACGAAGATATAGTTTTAGATTAACAATTTTCTTTTTTTAATTATAATAACTTAATTATTATCAATTTTTTATAAGTTATTTTTACATCGATCAATATTAAATACTAAAAAAGTATCATCTGCAAACAATAATATATCGCATAAAGATGAAAGAATGGCAAATCATTTATGTATGTTAGAAACAGAAAGGGACCCAGAATAGATCCTCGGGGGACCCCCATTTTTACTAGTGAACCAGATGATCTCGTACCGTTTATATCGATAGTTTGAGTTCTGAAACTGAGATACGCCAATATTAGTTGTAGAGCAGAGTCTTTGATACCATAATAATTTAGCTTTGTTTGAATAAGTATGTTTTTTTATTTGTAATTGGTATGTTCGATTTGTTAATTGGTATGTTTATAAAACACTCATCAAATATATCAGCAATTTTATCATGAGATTTGATAGTCATATTATTAAAGTTAAGTGTCAGTATATCATCACGTATTTTACACATTACAACGGTACAAAGATACAAGTTCTCTGCAAGATCGCCAAAGGAGTGGTCGGCCACGTTCTGTGAGGACGCCTGCGAACATCAAAATCATCCGAGAGCGACTTCGCGGACATCCATGTCGCACTCAGAAGAAACTCGCTCTGCAAACAAATATTTCGCGCGTTTCAGTGAACAAAATTCTGAAATATGATCTTAAGGTAAAGGCCTATAGTCGTAGAAAAGTTCACTTTTTAAACGATCGTCTTTGTAAATTTTACGCAAACGTTGCTGCTAAGGAGACGTGATTCCAGGAAGATACTCTTCACCGACGAGATATAAATATTTTATTGTTTATTATTATCTATTTAAAATTTTATTATTACTGAACATTTTAGAAATACAAGTTAATAATTAAAAAAGTTACGCCTCTTTTATTTCTTCTCAAAACTTATGAACACACGAGGTACAAAATGTCATCAATACGACAAAACAAGTTTTGAGGAATTTTATTTAATATTTGATATGGTCTTAGCCGTTGCATTATCCTCTCGACATCGGTCACTGTTTTTGCCATTAATTACACAGCTTGTTTCGTGACGTGAAAATAAATAAACAAAATTTAAAATAAACATGATCTATTTAAACAATATAACAATTCGTATTAAATAAACAATATTTAAAATAAATATTGTTTACTTAAAATGATAATTTATCTAGTTAATTAATAGAGAGATGTCATTGCCATTTATTGGTATATATAAATGTAATATATAAAATGCAAAGACTCGCTTGAAGACCCCAATCGTCGCATGCGCATCCCATTCATAACGCTCCCTAACATATCAAAGGTGGTAATCGTACAACAGTTACAGCACATTGAGTATTCCTTTTCATTTTAATTCGTTGCAATAAGGTTTATTTTATACTAACACAGCTGTAAAATTTTCTTGGTATAACATAACAATAGGTAGTACAGCTGCTCCATTATGGCACGCACCCTTGGCATTACCGATTAACTTTGGCGCCTAGTCGTTGCTGTTAACATACACTTAATATCTCCATATGATTTTATTTATTAATACTATTGCGTATATTCATCACCCATGAGCTTTAAAGGAAAAAGTATGATAAACAATATTGAGTAGAAAAATCTTAAAACTAAATTTTAAATTAGTAAATAACATTGATATCTTTTAAGTGAACATGTACTATCTGATTATTTTTCGTCCTCTACATCATATTATGCCTTCCTTTAATATACGTCCTTGTTTTCAATACATAGTATACAACAAAGTCGCTTTTCGTGATCTGTCCCTATGCATGCTTAGATCTTTAAAACTACGCAACGGATTTTGATGTGGTTTATTTTAATAGATAGGTGATTCAAAATGAAGGTTTTTATGCTTAATGCAAGACCATGTGAGCCAAGCCGCTGGCGGAAAGCTAGTTGTTTATAACTGGAGATCAATAAATGTTCATTCTTTTTCATTTATAATTTGATGTAGATTTCCAATTGCTGATAATATTATTTTGTAAAATTAAGCTGCTTAATGATTTGGTTCATGTTGTTATATTTTCGATAGATTTTTTTTAACTATGTATACAAAAATAATAAATCGAAATACTATTATTTTAACAATTTATAGCAGAGTTTGTTACGTATTTTTTTAATTTTGAAGTATAAACTATTTGTCTATATACTAATAGGTACTTCAAAGAGGGAAGATTTCATTTTTTGTTTGAACCGATTAAGCTCCAACCGAAACTACTGGAACAATGTTAAAAATTCTTTCACCTATGGGAAGCAACAGGCGATTGACATAGGCTATAACTTACGCAGGCAAAGACACGAGAAAACAGCTAGTAATATATATTGTTATTTTTCGTTTCATTCCCCAATACAAGGGCGCGCGCTCGTTGTCCCCTTTCTCCTAGTTTACTTAATCTATGACACGAGTGAAACAACGATGCGCACGTATGAAACGAAAGAATGTTTTTATTTATTTAGTCTTTGGCGCGAACCAACGCGCGTTGAACGTGTGTTGTGTAAGAAAAAAAAACAAAAACTTCTTCGTGTTTTAAAGGTGATTTAATTTACAAGTTAACAGTTTCGTTAAAAGAAAATCTTTACTTAATTAACAGAATAGTGAGGTGAGTTTATAAAATTACTTATTTTCCTTTGTTAATAGTTTATGCGAATTGTTTAGTAAACAAAAGGGTAGATTTTACTTTTCCAAGTTCAATGGAAATAGTTTTAATTTCAATTTAAATACTAAAATGTGTACACGTTTATAGGTATGTTAATTTACAGAAAGAAGTGTTAAATATTTTTTGGGCCCATAAACATCTACAACGTAGATAGATAGATTTTAAAATTTTAAATAACCTCAGTAGATAATTAAGAAATATAAAAAAGTAATATTAAGTTAATATTAAGAATTATAAAAAAGTATTATATGAAATCTTAAAGACCTATTATATAACTACCGATTGCAGAATTTAAATTTATATTCAATGTTTGTAACAAACATTTTAGTAATATGAACACTCAAAAGCAGAAGTAACATACACTGTCAACAACAAACCAAGTTGTTAAAAACTACATTTCTCCCATTAATTTTAATAAACCTTAATGCATTAAATTCAAAATCGATTACAATTTGTCATTAACCAGATATGCTGCTCTGCCACTACCATCACGACTGTAATCGTTAGATAAAAAATTATAAGTCATTTATTTGAAGTCGCCTCCACCGAACGCAAACATTAGTAAAACCTAACATTATTATGACAAGCAAGTTTATCAACATCTGTTTTTATGTAATGCAATAATAAATAAAATTATAAATAATTTTGATTTCCCGAAAGTACGAAACCAACTTATTTAAATAAAGTGACTTTATTTTCAATTCAAAGTAATGCGAGCCAAAGCATGGCTACAGGTTTTCAAGGTCATTTCGTCATGGTGTGTGAGCAAGAAGGGAAGACATCAACCAAAACAAAATAATAGTGGGCAAGATATCTTTGTCCAATAGAATATTACTAACCGTACGAATTAACATAACATCTGAAGCCATATTCTAGTTAGCCAAAAACGTTTCGTCTATTTCGCATTTTTGACAATTTATAATGGCAACGGAAGTATTAGGACCTGACACTGCCTCTGATATATAGATTATCTTAACAAATACGAGGGTCAAACTGAAAGTTCTTAGAACTGGCCACTTATAAACAATATAATAAAAAAATAATTCTAAAATTTGAAAATATAACTCTTTGCCAATATTACTGAGTATATATTTCATTCATTTGTCATTTGTTTTACGATTTGGCGGCAAATTGAAAATTGTCTGTGTCACGTCATCATGAATTTAACACGAGAAAATTTTCGTGCAATGATTTTTTATGACTTTCGAT